GGGTGGATTGGCCGTGCTAAATTGTCCCATAGTGCCCAGGGATGTGCGGGTTAGGGTGGATTGGCCGTGCTAAATTGTCCCATAGTGCCCAGGGATGTGCAGGCTGGCAGGTCACTAGGGTGGGATGCTCTTCAGAGGGTCAGTGTGGACTGGATGGGCTAAATGGCCTACGTTCACACCATGGGCATTCTATGATTCAGCAAACTACCCCACCGCGCTGAGTCAGAATGGGGCAAGCAGGCACAAGGTCCCCCACCCTGAACGCCATTTGGGAAGGGGGTGTCTGGTACCTTAAAGAAAGCTCTCTTGACAGAGTAGAGGTGCTCATCGTACAGGAAACTGACATACAGGTTGATTGCTGGTCTGGTGGCCGATGTGTTCTGTACGTTCAGGGTCAGCTTAAACACCGGCCCAATCCCCTGCACCTGCGGCACAGACAGATGGCTTAGATTTTGTTCATAAATATCCTGCACCCCCACAACCACCTCCCCCCCCAGGCCTAACCAATTGTAAAATTGACAGCATGGACAGAGAGGCCCCATGCATTTCTCACTCAAGGTCACTGGATTTGGAGAGTACGGGCAGTCAATTATCAGAGATTGAAAGCTTTGTGAATAACAGAGATTGCAGATATGAGGAAGGCAGTTACACCGCGACCCTTCTGCAAAGCTCTGGCTCACCCCCACTCAGAACATTCTGTCCAGTTTCCCACTGCATACACACCGTAGCTTCACATTATCAACGGGAATCTCACCGCGCCCCATTCTTCTCCCTGTACTTCGGGAGGGGAGTGAGGGTCCTCGAGAGGGTGCGGAGGATACTGACCAGGTCAGGCTGGGCAAGTGGATTGTGGGGCAGAAGGACTGAGACAATCAGGTGGACAGGATGATGACAGATGTAGATAAAGCAGAAACTGCTCCCATTTGGAGAGGGTACAGGTTTTGGTCAAGAGCTTGGGGAATAAGACTGACCGGATTTTGCTCAAGGTGCTAAATGGCCTCAGTCTGTACTGTACTGACACCCCGTCACTGTCCCCCCATGATGCTTCAATCTGAAGAGGTGCCTACCACACGTCAAGGGCCACAGGCCAACAGACTGTGTTTATTGTCACGCTGGCTGCCTCAGGCAGGTGTGAGGCTACTCCAACCCAGGAGCGAGATGTTCACTCACCACCGCATTCATCTTCAGAGGCTCCTGGAGGTCAGCAGAGACTGGCGCCATGCTAGCTTCGAGAGCCTTGGCATATTCCCGTGCTGCCCTGAGACGTAGACGGTACAAATCCATCTGAAAGGCCCGGTGCATAGCTTCGAACCGGAGAAGGGGAATAAAACACATGAAGTTACGGTCAACACAGCCCAGGGATTCATCTCCCAGGAATGCAGGAGACTGTAAACTGACCCCAATGTGCCAGGCTAGGGACAGCACTAACAGTCTACAGAGTCTACTTTAAGACTAAAGTATAACTACAGCAGATAGGACTCAAAAATACAGCAACATGCCTGAAGTCTGGCCTATTAGTGATTTTACAGTCGCTATTCTAATCATATAACTGTCCTTACTGACTACACTCTCAGCGAAATCACACCCTGCTTTTATGGTACCAGAAAGTACTGCAATTCCAGTCAGGATTTACGCTCACTGTAGTGGCACAGATAAAGCAGACGCTGTAGACTGTGTGCTGCAGTGTGCTGTCTAAGCAGACCCTGTAGACTGGGGGCGGTTTAAGCAGACCCTGTAGAC